CTAGGGCGTAGCCTAACTAGAGCCTGTCTTTCATTCTGAGCGTGATAAGAGAGAATCTAGTCAATGAGAAGACAGAGGTGACTTTCTCACAAATACTATTTCCTGAAACCAATGGGGAGGCAAAAGGCATCCAACTCTTCCTGGAAGACCCCAGTAAACTACTTAGTATCAACAACAGAATGTACTGACCATGGGGCATTTCAGGATAAGATGGCAATTGTTTATAAGAAGCATTTGACATATTATGAACTTGTTTGATCCTGATGACCCGCCTTATGAGATTATTAATATGGTTAACTATTATTATCTTCATTTTACAGTTGAGGAAATTGAGGCATAGAGAGGTTAAGTAACTTGCCCAACATCACATAGTGAATGTTAAGAGAAAGAGGAAATGCAGGAAGTCTGGCTTCAAAGCCAGAATTGCTATGATACAAGGAGGTTTTTATTGCTCAGCATATAGGATGCTTGAAAAGGATTCACCCAGTGAATTTATGTTCATCCTGAATCATTTTTTTTTTAATTTTTATTCTTTGGTACTGGGGATTGAGTCCAAGAGTGCTCAACCACTGAACCACCTCCTCAGCCCTTTTTAGGTTTTGTTTAGAGACAGGGTCTCGCTAAGTTGTTGAGGCTGGCTCTGAACTTAGATCCTTCTGCCTCAGCCTCCAGAGCCACTGAGATGACAGGCATTGGCCACCACGACTGGCTTTGATTCATTTATTTTTAACACCTAAATCTCCCCAAGAGCCAACATGTTTATTAAAGATAAACTGGATGTTCTGATGGTGCAACTAACTTCAGAGCATAACATAAAGCAAAGGAACTTCTGTGGTTGAGGTTTCCAATAAAGAAAGGGAAGACTGCTGTTTGGGAACTCTCTTAATTCTTGATTATCCTTCTTGGTGGATAGCTAAGCTGCTGCACTGGCTTCCACCGTGTGGTTCCGTGCATTTGCTGTCACCAAGGTCCAGTGTAAAGGGAAACAGAAATGCTTATCCCCAGTGGGAAAAATAGTTAGGAAACCGTCATAAGATTTCCCACAAAGAAAATATATCCTGGTGAGAAACTCTCGTTATTGCTTTCTGTCCTGGTGAGTTCCTGGAAAGGACATGTGCAAACCAGGCGTGGGATTTGCAAACGGCCCGATTTGGCAACTGATGCGGTTTCCTCTTTCTTTTCAGGTCGTGAGGTTTGAGAATATTCTGTCCTCCATCCTTCACTTTGGAGTCCTCCCACTGGCCAACAGTAAGGGATTCTTGGGAAATGACACGACTCTGATAATGGCTAACTGTTGGGGATTGTTTGGGACTTTCCACTTTAAAAACGTTTTTAGGAATCCAGACCAGAGCCAGAAATTTACAGGGTGGACCCTCCACAATAGGGTTCTGAAATCACTTATGTCAGGTCCAAGCCTTGTAAGCAACTCATTCTGTAAACTCAGCATCACCTCTGGCTGAGTGAACGAGATCAAGACCACGCTCCTTAGTGAAGAGTGTCCGAAATGAGATGATTCTCCCTACGAAGTACCYCTGTGGTTATCTGGATAAACAGTTTATTGAATGACAGTCCAGGGCCTCTCCCCGCCCTCCAATTATTCACAAACTGCAGCATCTGGAGTTCAACTTAGTTAAAATACTGGTTTTTTTTTTTTWTATATTAGACACCAAAATGTTCTCAGGACCCACCAATTAGGAATTTTCAAAATATATTTTGGGTAAGCATAAAGTGGTTTCTGATGTCCAAATGCACATGATTGCAGATGCATTTTTATCAAACAAAGGTGAATTAACGAGTCTTCCAGAAAAATCCTTGGGACTTATCAGGAGGAATGAAGAAATAAATTATTTAAAAGCTTCTTGTTTGTCTCTTGCTAAAAAGTTTGCCAAAATGTCTGTGCCCATGCCTAGTTRTCTTATATCTTTCTATATTTTAGCAAGATTGCAGCAGGGATTTCCTCTGCCTAACCCGCATAAACTCTCGTTCGTCAATTCAGACATCGAAGTTTTGGAGGTAAGATTTTCAATCTCCTCTAACTGATCCATTTCTTTTCATGATAGAATAAGCTTCCTTYTATTTTGTTTATTTTTTGTTTTAGTTTTATATGTACTGTTTTTCCCAAACCAAGGAATCTTATAAATAAAACATTCAACTCTTAACATTTGCAATTACCAATGAAATGTTTAAAAATCAGATCAAGTTCAGTTTTGCTTAGCCAAATTTATTCACACCACAGTATAGGAAGATATTCTTCCCCCCCCCCCCTTTTTTAACAAAAGGGGGCTTTCTACCACTGAACTATATCCCTAGCCCTTCACTTTTTTATTTGGTGCCGAGGCTGACCTCCTACTTGCAGTCCTCCTGGTTCAGCCTCCCAAGTCTCTAGGATTTCAGGCCTGTGCCACTGTGTTYGGCAAGAAGATATTCTTTGATGCATTTTACACAATTTACTCCAAAAGACAAGCTCTAAGGCGGAGATTATTAATCTCATTTTACAGATGAGGACGATGAGATTCAGAGAGGTAAAGTGGTTCAGGTAGCTGGAAAAGGGTTCAGATTGGCTCTTCTAGTTCTCCCAATGACTTTCCTCTGAAGACCCTTCTCTGGGCTCCACGGTCCATTGAGAACTGTTTCCTGGGCTAATCATCATTAACTAACTTCATAATATCTTCTCCCCCTTTTTGGCGTTGTCTGATTGGGGAGGTGGAAATAAGTTTCTGAAGGAATCTTCAATCCTCTACACTCCCCAGCGCTTCTAACCTCCCTGCCTCTCTCTCCCCCCAACTTCCAATACTTAGGTCACATCTGATGACAATCTTCCATAACTTCCTCCTATATCTGAGGTCCTCAAAAAGAGGGCCAGATGTTGGGAAAGGCTTGATGCCTCAGGATGCAGTAAAGACACCATGTTTCCCTCACCCTTAGGCAAACCTAGACGGGCCCCAAATCTGATGCTYTCTTCATTGCTGTCCCCTTTTCAGGGTTTCCTGTTAATTTCCACCGACCTGAAGTATGAATCACCCTCCAAACAGCAGCCAAGTTTCCATGGTTGGGAAGACCTGAGCCTGCTAAATGGACAGTGGACGGGGAAGGCAACCCCTTGACTGCCTGTTCACCCCGCGCCCCAGGAAGGAAATGACTCCTGATCCCACAGCTACTGTAAACCAGGAGGGAGAAAACAAGGCACACCTTGTGCATTACTTAGGCAGAACGTTATCTTTTGGGAGGCTTCTGGGACACAGAGCGAGGCCTGTTAAAGGGCTGAATGAGGGGGGGAGGGATGGGTGTGTGTGTGTGCGCACACGCGCGCTATGTGTGGAGGGGCAGGGGTTTGACTGTGAGTGTGAGCATGTTGTGTGCCTGTGTTTATAAGGTTCTGGGGACAAGAGCTAAGCATGTACTTCTGACCAAGTGGGTCAGAAACTCTCAAGGTCTGTATTTGTATGGGTTGTTATCTGTGCAGATCCTACAGCTCCTTCGAGTTCTTCCCCCACCTGCATGTTGGATTTTATGTTTTATATTCACTGTTACCATCCCCTGTGTTAATTAAAATTGTTTTCTATCAATGTCAATTTTTTTTAATTATTTGGGAAATTTCTTGTCCTGAATATATTTTAATAACATATGTCAAAGAAAAGGAAAGGATTTAGTTTAACACTAACAAAAAAAACTGAGGCTATGCAGATATCARGGCTTGATTTTAAAAGAGTTCCTTTTCCTCTTAAAACTTTCTGGTGAGAGGGTAACTATAGGACACTCTGGAGGTCACATCATTTGTTTAAGTTTGGAGATGTTTCCCCTCATGACTCAATAAAATGGCAGCAAAAAGTACTGGACCTAAACAATTCACAGTGGATAATGATAGTGTGACAGCATCGAATAAATGGGGTGAAAMTGGGGCAGAGGAGGAGAGGGGAACCAGTGTGAATAATGTACGAAATTTTAACAGAAACTACAAGCTGCTTTTGCAGGCCTTAGAGTCTAGTTGAGGGGCAGAGGTGGAAGAAAGCCACTTACCATCAGCCAAGCCCTATGCTGGTTACTTTTTTAGTATCATGTAATTTAATCTTCAAAACCATTCTATGAGGAATTGTGATCCCATTTTATACATGAGAAAATAGAGACTAAAAGGGATATATCACCCAAAGCTAGAAAATTGCACAGATAGAAACTGAATCCAAGTCTTCCTGACTCCAAAACTGTTGTTCTCAACCTGAGGCAGCGCTAGAAACTGAAATCACTTAGAGCTTTCTTATCTCAACTAGCAAGAGATGTTGCCTTTAATAGCACCATTATAAATGGGTGCAGTGTGTGCCTATAATCCAGCTACTGGGGAGGCTGAAGGTAGGAGGACTTCAAGTCCAGCCTGTGCCACTCAGTGAGACCCTGTCTCAARAAACGAAACCAAMCAAACAAACAAGAATATAAGCATGATCATAGAAGATTTAATCACCAAAGAAGTCCAGATGGGGAAGCCCCGACCATCCATAGGGACACTGGTTGATTCATCTTTGTTGCATATTTCTGGCCTTTAAAGGTGTCCCTATAAGTGTTTGGGGGAATAAATGATAAAATGTCACGTTTCATTCTTTGGGATGCTCTTTTCTAACAGGAAAGTTACTTGATGTATATCCACAGATTCATTATGAGACATTACAAACRTTCAGGTGTGGTGCTTTTTCAAACAGGATTGTCTTTCTCAGCTGCAAGCATATATTTTCCTTTCACTGTTGGGGATRTAAACTCCAAAACGAAGTATTCTGTAGAGCGACTGGATCTGACTCGGATTCAAGGTGTTTTCGACAGCTGCTCAAAAACACTTCCAAAATGAAGGATAACTAGATCATACGAAACATTAACTGRATTTAGCTTAGCTTTCGCTTAGACGTAGCTTGGCTGAGATCAACTCATAAAGCAAACTCCAGAGGGCGGTCTAACGAGAAGAAAAGCGATTGCTGCGAAGAGTTTGGAGCCTCGGCGCTCGCCGTCGCCGAGCGTGCGGAGCTGATCGCGCCTGCGCATTGAGCGCCAGAAGGCGTGCTCCGCGGAACCCGACAGCGCGGCAGCTTCTCCTCAGAGGGAGCGTCTGCCACCGTCGTCGCAGCCATGAGTCGTACTTACAACGATGAGTTACAGTTCCTGGAAAAGGTCCATAAAAACTGCTGGAGAATCAAGAAGGGCTTCGTGCCCAACATGCAGGTGAGRCGGGGGAGTGGGACCCGGCGGTCGGGCCTTCCCTATCCCGGGCGGCGTCTCGGCGACCGCCCAGATCTACCCGAGCCTCCTGACCCCTCCCCGGAGCCACTCCCCGAGCCYTCCCGACTCCTCCCACGAGCCCTCCCGAGCCCGGGTCCGCCCCCGACCCTGCAGGCTGACCCCCTTCCCCTGCCCTCCTCGCTCCATCTCGGGCAGGAGAGGTCCCGCGACCACCGGGACCRGCGAAGCGGGGCGTTCCCGGAGCGCTTTCGCGGGCGTCTGAAGCCCCCAGAGACCTACGCGGGCTTTCCGAGGCGCGGGGGGAGATGCCAGGACTGGAACTCGGCTCCTCTGACGCGGGCTGACCGCTCTGCGCTCCGCCGAGTCTTTAGCTCTCTCTGCTCGGTGTTGGTTCTCCCATCAGTGACTCCCTTCCTCCCACCCGTCCGGAGTAGCAAGGCAGGGCTGCTTGGTCTATGCTCTGCGCTTCGCAGGGGACCCTGAGGATCAGCTCTCTGGACCCATCTAGTGAGATGCTCAGCCGGGGCCTGACGTCCAGTTTACTTCTTTCTGTGCCAGAATCATGATGGAGACTCTGGATCCCACCTCTAGAGTGTGAAAGGCTGAACTTGCTGTCTCCTAGTGTGCTCATGGCTTCCATTAACGTGAAGGACAAAGCACGTGAGGTTTTGGTACCTGCGTGACATAGCTTTGAAACCCTCTAAGGTGCTGTGCAGGTGCCCTAGGCTATGCAGTCCTGTGTCCTGGTAAAAAGTTCCTGAGAGCCTTTCCACTCCTGTAATCAGTATCAAAGTTATCAAATGACCCCTATTCACACACAGCTTTAGCTACAAACTAAGGAGAAAAAAAGCCCACGGTGACCAAACAGTGCTCTTTTCCCTCTTGATGGGGGCAGGGTGTTCATTTGTTTATTTTAATTGGTGAATAAAAACCGTACATATTGTGGGGTACCATATGATGTTTTATTACACACATGTGTTGTATAATGTTCACAGTAAATTTATCTTGTCCCCTCAAACAAAACAGTTTTTGAGCATTGCAAATTACAGGTTGAATATCCCTTATCTGAAGTACTTGGGACGGGAAAAGTTTCAGATTTTTGAGGGTTTTTTTTTTTTTTTAAGAGAGAGAAAGAATTTTTTAATATTTATTTATTTATTAGTTTTTGGTGGACACAACATCTTTATTTTATTTTTGTATGGTGCTGAGGATGGAACCCAGCACCCCGCGCATGCCAGGCTAGCAGATTACTGCTTGAGCCATATCCCCAGCCCCAATTTTTTTTAATTTTGGCATATTTGCATAAACTTCACTGGTTGAGCAGCCCTGACCCATACAATTCAAAATACTCCCAAATCTGAAACCCTTTGAACATCTTTTAGACTTTGTTAGGAGTTGGGTTTTTTTTCTTGCTTGAGCTAATGTGAAAGTTTTACAAAGAATAAAGCAAAATAAAATAATTATTGTATACTATGTATTATGTCCAGTGTGCCTATACTTCATGGACACATGCTTAGATAGCATTTTTCCTTTCCTTTGGTACCAGGTTGAAGGAGTTTTCTATGTGAATGATGCTCTGGAGAAATTAATGTTTGAGGAATTAAGGAATGCCTGTCGAGGTGGTGGTAAGTACATTAGCATTTCATTTGTTGTATTACAAATATCTGCCTAAACCTGTGGCCTGAATAAATGGTAATTGTCAGGAAATGATCAAGACTTATAGTGAGGGACTGGGGTTATAGGTCAGTGGTAGAGCACTTGCCTAGCATGGGTGAGGTACTGGATTCGCTCCTTGGCACCCATAAAAATAAATAAATAAATAAAATAAAAATATCATGTCCATCTACAACTTAAAAAAAAAAAAAAAAGACATAATGAGACCGAAGTCCTGAATTGTGATCACATTGTTAGCCGTTTGCACTTAAAGAAAGGATTTGGAGCTGGATGGGCCTGCTTTGTGTCTCAGCTAACCCTTAATAATATCAATGCTACCATTAATCCTACACTATGGGCCATACATTTTAGGTTCTTTACATAGATTATTCATGTAAACATGTAATACAGTCTAGAAATAAGAATGTAACTAATGCTGAAAATCAAACATATCTTTTTTTCTAAGACTGACTTTTTGCTTTCAGGTGTTGGTGGCTTCTTGCCAGCCATGAAACAGATTGGCAACGTGGCAGCCTTGCCTGGAATTGTTCATGTGAGTTAGATTTCAGGACTTCAATCAGTTATATTTCTTGTCTGAATTATGTTGAATGGATGAATGACCATTCCTAACCCAAAGTGGTGTCATCTAAACAGTAACCTTTGAGCATACAGTACTAACCATGAGATCTAAGAAATAACTGGGCCTGGCTAATATGTCTTAGTTTTTGGTTGCCTTTGGCTCAAATCTATATGCATTTGAGAACCTTTAAAGTAGTTTTTTGTTTGTTTGTTTGTTTGTTTGTTTAAGAGAGGAGAGAGAGAGAGAGAGAATTTTTAATATTTATTTTTTAGTTCTCGGCGGACACAACATCTTTGTATGTGGTGCTGAGGATCGAACCCTGGCCGCACGCATACCAGGCGAGCGCACTACCGCTTGAGCCACATCCCCAGCCCCTAAAGTAGTTTTTTATGTTTTCTTATTTCTTTGTCATAGAAACATCATTACTCCTGTATTAGTCTACCATCATTGTAGGTTTTGCCATGGCCCCATTTAAGAGAATACTTGGGGAAGGAATAGAAAGAAAAAGTTTTAAGGATTGGGACTGAAATGATGGAGAGAGAACATGATAGCTGTTCTGGACATGACTGAAAAAGAGGGCAGGGGCTGGGGTTGTGGCTCAGTGGTAGAATGCTTGCCGAGCACATGTGAGGCACTGAGTTTGATCCTCAGTACCACATAAATAAGTAAAATACAGGTAATTTGTCCATCTACAACTAAATAATATATTTTAAATAGTTTTGAAAACAAAGAGGGGCTGGTGTTCTGGCTCAGTGGTAGAGCGCTTGACTCGCATGCATGAGGCACTGGGTTTGATCCTCAGCACCATGTAAAAATGAATAAATAAATAAAGATATTCTGTTCATCTACAACTGAAAAAGAAAAGAGAGATGATGGCAATAACAGATGGAAGTGGGTAGTATGAGTGGGCCCCACCACAGTCAGATATTCAGATTTCACCTAAAGGTACATGTGGAAAACAGATCCATTTAACAGACATTTTTTTTTAATAACTTTATTTTTTTATTTATTTTTATATGGTGCTGAGGATCGATCCCAGTGCCTCATGCATGCGAGGAAAGTGCTCTACCACTGAGCCACAACTCCAGCCCCTTTGAGTCCTTCTTCATGCCAGTTATTATACTGTGCTGTGAAGAGGATGAAAAGGCACGGTTTGTGCATTGTCTGTGATATTCATAGATTACTTAAGTTCTAATGGCCATGTAATGGATATTTACCCCTTCTTAACTTGACACAACTGTGATTTGTCAGTGTCATCCATGAGCTCACCTTTAAAAGGAATTAAAATATTAAAGCTACGTATGGTCCTCCTGTACACACTGTTAGTCTGAGGCTTTTCTGTCTTAGGTTTCCTTAGTTAATAATTAGACTTTTACGAGAAAGTTTTTTTGGTTTTTGTCTCACTGTATTTAGTTTTGTGATTAGGAGTTCTTATACCTAATTTCCACCAATAGAAATTTTGTGAAAAAAATCTTGATCTTGGGAAAGCTCAGCCTGCAACATGAAAAACAGTATCAGGCCCATCTGGCAACCAGAGTTCCAGGTTAAAATAGCTACAATTTCACTGTCTGATTCTCTTCTAGCGATCTATTGGGCTTCCTGATGTCCATTCAGGCTATGGGTTTGCTATTGGGAATATGGCTGCCTTTGATATGAATGATCCTGAAGCGGTGGTATCCCCAGGTAAGTGTGTAGTTTCTCTCCATGGATCCTACTCTTTTAAAACAGAGCATTACTTTTTTTTGTATCTCAGTCTCGTAGTGTGTGTGTGTGTGTGTGTGTGTGTGTGTGTGTGTGTATGTATCTGTCTACATGCACATGCATGCGTGCACACCTAGGATTCAATCCAGGGCTTTACATGTACTAGGCAAGTACTTTTGCACTTAGCTGTAGCCACAAACCTTTTTTAAAATTTCATTTTCAGACAGTATCTTGCTAAGTTGTCTAAGCTGACTTTCAAATTTGTGATCCTCCCCCCTCAGGCCTGTGCCACCACACCCAGCCTGTTATTACCTTTCCTCTTGTTTACTGAGAAAATTGGTTGTAAACATTCAGAGACTATTAAAACATCAAAAGTATACATTTTTAAAAATTTTTGGACACTTGCTAAAATGCCAAATGCTATTCAGACATTGGCTACCAAGCAAAACCAAAATATTTCTCAGCTAATTTTATATTCTTGTAGACAAATGAGRTCTAACAGTGTCGTTTACCACATAGCCTTGTTATGAAGACCRAGTTCATGGGGATGTGGCTCACTGAAAGAGAGCTTGCCCAACAAGCCCAACCAGATTCAATCCCCATATACCATCAAAAAAAAAAAAAGATTTGAGTTCATCCTTGTGAAATACTTAGGCAAGTGTTGAGCACACAGCAGGTACTTGGTAAGCATTTGTTCTCATCATTTTATCTGTGGTCATTTGTAGTTTATACATTCAGGACTGCTGTAGCTACGGAGTATGTTCAGTAAAAACATTCTACACCAGAAGTAAAAGCCTTACTTTCAAAGGGTCTAAGTGAAAAATGAACAGAGTCCTACCCCAGCAACTTAGCAATGTCTCAGAAATTTTTTAAAAATAAATTTTCTTTTTAATGAAAAGGACTGGGGACATAGCTCAGTGATAAAGCACTCCTGGGTTCAGTCCCTAGCACCAAAAAAAGGAGAGGGGAGGCGAGCCAGGARCCAGCAAAACCAAAAGTTGGTTATTTCAAAAGACCAATAGAGCTGGGTCTAGAGGTACACACTTGTAATCCCAGCTACTCAGAAGGCTAACGCAGGAGGATCGCAAGTTCAAAGCCAGCCTCAGCAACTAAGCCAAGTCCTAAGCAACTTAGCAAGACCCAGTCTCAAAATAAAAAGGGCTGGGGATGTGGCTCAGTAGTTAAGCACCCCTGGATTCAAACCCTGGTACAAAAAAAAACAGAAACTAATAGAATCTATCAACCTCTGATGACTAATTAAGGGGAAAAGAGTGATGCTTTACTCATTTTTATCTTGATTTTACTTGTTACTGTTCATTGTTGTCTCCCAGGCGCACAGTATATATGTTACTTTACATTATTTCAATGTCATCACACTTCACCCCTCAGAGAACTAATACATTAAAATATGGTAATCTTAAAAAGAGTGGGTATCTCTGTAATGCTAGGTTAATGAAGAGAAACTGCAGGTACACATAACTGTCTGATCACCTGGATTTACTAATATTTGACCAGCTTTTCTGTATTTTGTAGGTGGTGTCGGATTTGACATCAACTGTGGTGTGCGCTTGCTGAGAACCAATTTGGATGAGAGTGATGTCCAGCCTGTGAAAGAGCAACTCGCCCAAGCTATGTTTGACCACATTCCTGTTGGGGTGGGATCAAAAGGTGTGATCCCAATGAATGCCAAGTAAGAGCACACATTTTCCAGATATGGAATGGGAGAGAGAACAACCACATGACCTCCAGCTTCATTTACAGTGTAGGATACTCGAGATGGGGAGTGCTCAGTCACTTTCTGGAAGTAGAGTAATTTCCACTAACATTTTTGAGCAGTTCTTATATGTAAGGCACTATGCATTGTATTATTTCTTGTAGACAATAACCCTCTTATTATCCCTGCTTTACACCAAGGAACCTGAGGTTAAGAAAGATAATAAGCTTAATAAGTGATGTAGGGATTCAAACCAAAGAGCCTTTGACTCTTTTTTTTTTTATTTTTGTTTTTTGTTTCTTGTTTTTTGTTTTTTTTTTTTATTGATTGTTCCAAACATTACAGAGCTCTTGATAAATCATCTTTCATACATTTGACTCTATTGGGTTTTGAACTCCCATTTCTACCCCAAATACAGTATTTTTTTTATTTTTTAGTTTTCAGCGGACACAACATTTTTGTTTGTATGTGATGCTGAGGATCGAACCCGGGCCGCACGCATGCCAGGCAAGCGCGCTACCGCTTGAGCCACATCCCCAGCCCCTGAGCCTTTGACTCTTCAGAGGCTATATTCTGAATCCCACTGCCTTTTGTCAGTGAACCCATTTATCCAGTTTCTTATTGAATGCCAGCACTGAATGTGCTCTTCAACTAAGTAGAGAATTAAGTGTAACTGCCTCTCAGGTGGCCATTAACTCTACCATACTGTTTCATAAATCCTGCAAAGCAGCTCACCTTAAACTTTGCAGAGAACTTCATTTTCAAAATAGTGTGTTTAACAAGGAGAGTCAAAGATGTTTCTTTGCCACCTTTGTTGTGTCTTTAAAATTCATGTGACTTTTTCATTCTTTTAAAAAATTTGTACACATTAATATAAAAATGTTTTTAGCTATTACCTGTTTTGCAACTCCCTCCCACTAAAAACACATGGAGTAAGATGACAGTTCCATGTTTTCACATGGTCCCTGACAAGTAACCTCATTTTGAGAAGCTTCCAAGTAACACAAATTAATTTCAAGCATCTTTACAAATGTTTTAGATAGAAGTTTTGTTGTAATAAATAATGTTAGCTGAGCATTGTGGTTCGAGCGTGAAATCCCAGCAAGTTGGGAGGCTGAGGCAGGTGAATCATAAGTTTAAGGCCAGCCTGGGGGGCTGGAGATGTGGCTCAAGCGGTAGCGCGCTCGCCTGGCATGCGTGCGGCCCGGGTTCGATCCTCAGCACCACATACAAACAAAGATGTTGTGTCTGCCAAGAACTAAAAAATAAATAAATAAATATTTAAAAAAAAAAAAAAAAGGCCAGCCTGGGCAACTTGGACCCTGTTTGAAAAATTAAAAAGAGGGCTGAGATTGTAGAGCACTTGCCTAGCGCGTGTGAGGTGCTGGGTTCGATCCTCAACACCACATAAAAATAAAAATAAAGATTAAAAAAAAGAGAGGGAGAAAGGGCTGGGACTCAGTGGTAGAGTGCTTGCTTAGCATGTGTGAGGCACTGAGTTTGATTTTCAGCACCATAAACAAATAAATAAAGATCCATTGACAACTAAAACTATTTTTTAAAAAGAGAAGGGGCCTGGGGTTGTAGCTCAGTGGTAGAGCACTTGCCTCRCACGCTTGAGGCCCTGGGTTCCATCCCCAGCACCACATAAAAATAAACAAATAAAAGTAAAGATATTGTGTCCATCTGCAACTAAAAAAATATATATATATTATTTAAAAAAGAGAGAGAATTGGAGATGTGCCTCAATGATAGAACACTCTAAGATTTAAAAACAAGTTTGAAATAGACTGACAATCTGGGTTGGTAGGGAAAGGAACATTGAAAGCTGTAAATTGTTATTGAAGGCATGTATCTGGTAAAAGTATTGGTAGATGGTAATATCTGATTGAAATTATCAATTTTCTTTGTTTGCTGGATCACCACTTCATAGGATTGAGGATAAAAGAGGCAAATCTAAAGTAAGAAATACTTGAAAATTAACAGAGCTATGTGAACATCAAGTATAACTGCAGTCATGTTGAATTAGGCCTTTCCATTTTCATATTGCAATTATTTATGCAACTGCTTTGCTCAAAAAACTAGAGTTGCTAAGCATGAAATTCAGCGTGAGCCAGGTACATCAAAGATAGTACTTGCAGCGTGTTCCTCTGCCCTTTGAGATGAGGTGTTTTTTAGAATTGATGTTGTTTGCCGTGAAATGAGTAACATTTTTTTATTACTCACCCAGAGACTTGGAGGAGGCCTTGGAGATGGGCGTGGACTGGTCCCTAAGGGAAGGCTATGCCTGGGCTGAAGACAAGGAGCACTGTGAGGAGTATGGAAGGATGCTGCAAGCTGACCCCAACAAGGTCTCTGCAAGGGCCAAGAAAAGAGGCCTTCCTCAGGTAACTTACTCTGCAGGAGTGACATGTTAATTTCTCATATTTTATTTTAATTAAGGGATGAAATCTGTTATCTTTCAGTTAGCAAAAAAACATATCCTCAGGGTTTTGGTTTTGGTTTTTCATATAACTTTTTTTTAAATGTTCTTTTTAGTTATACATGATAGTGTAATGTATTTTGACATATACATACATGGAGTATAACTGCCCATTCTTGTGGTTGTACGTGATGTGGAGTTATACTGGTCATGTATGCATATGTGAACATAGGAAAGTTATGTCTGATTCATTCTTYTGTCTTTCCTGTTCCCATCTTCCCACTTGCCATCATTCCTCCCTGTCCTATCCAGTGAATTTCCATCCCTTCCCACTCCCATTGTAAGTCAGCATCCACATATCAGAGAGAAACATTTTGCCTGTGTTTTTTGGGGGGATTGGCTTATTTCACTTAGCATTATAGGCTCCAGTTCCATCGAATTACTGGCAAATGCCATAATTTTATTCTTCTTTATGGCTGAAAAATATTCCATTGTGTATATGTACCACATTGTCTTCATGTATTCATCTATTGAGGTCACTTAGATTGGTTCCATAGTTTAGCTATTGTGAATTGAGCTGCTATAAACATTGATRTGGCTGTGTCACTATAGTATGCTGATTTTTATGTCTTTGGGGTTAATGCAAGGAGCGGGATAACTGGGTCAAACAGTGGTTCCATTCTCAGTTTTCTGAGGAATCAGTATACTTCTTTCCAGAGTAGTTGCACCAGTTTGCAGTCCTACCAGCCATGTGTGCCTAAACCTTTTCCCCACATCCTCACCAACATTTATTGTTAGTTGTATTCTTGATAATTGCCATTCCGACTGGAGTGAGATGAAATCTCAGTGTGGTTTTAATTTGCATTTCTCTAATGTTGAACTTTTTTCCATATATTTGTAACTGATCATATTTCTTCTGTGAAGTGTTCATTCGGTTCCTTTGCTCATTTATTGATTGGGTATTTGTTTTTTTTGGTGTTAAGTTTTTTGCATTCTTTATCCTAGAGATTAATGCTCTGAATGAGGTGCAGGTGGCAAAGATTTTCTCCCACTCTGTAGGCTCCCTCTTGATTGTGTTCTTGATTGTTTCCTCTGCTGTGAAGAAGCTTTTTAGTTTGATACAATCCCATTTATTAATTCTTGATTTTACTTGTGCTTTAGGAGTCTTGTTGAGGAATTTGGTTCCTAAGCCAACATGATGGAGATTTGGGCCTACTTTTTCTTCCAGTAGGAGCAGGTCTCTGGTCTAATGCGTAGGTCCTTCATCCACTTTGAGTTGAGTTTTGTGCAGGGTGAGAGATAAGGATCTAATTTCATTTTATCATGTGTGGATTTCTAGTTTTCCCAGCACCATTTGTTGAAGAAACTATCTGTTCTCCAGTGTATGTTTATGGTACCTTTTCTAGTATCAGATGACTGTTTATGTGGGTTTGTCTCTATGTCTTCTATTCTGTACCATTGGTCTGCATTGTCTGTCTAGGAGCCAATACCATGCCGTATTTGTTACTATACCTCTGTACTATAATTTAAGGTCTGGCATTTTGATGCCTCCTGCTTCACCTTTCTTGCTGAGAATTGCTTTGGCTATTCCTCAGGGGTTTTTGTAGCATATAAAAAAGAATGTGAATCTTTTTATGTATCATTCTAAAAAGGTATTAGAAGTTTGCAGATGTTTATAAAATAAAAAGAAGATTGCCAGGCCCAGTGGTGCATATCTGTAATCCCAGCAACTCCAGAGGCTGGGGCAGAAGGATCACAAGTTTATGGCCAGCCTCAGCCTCAGAAAATTAGCAAGACCTTATCTCACAATAAAAAATACAAGGACTGGGGATAGAGCAACACTGGGCTCAATCCCTAGTACCGAAAGTAGATGATAGATAGAGGAGAGAAAGAGATTTACCAAAAAACAAAACCCAAAAAAACCTAAATGAGGCAACCTCTAAAGGTTCTTCCAGCCCTGCTGTTCTCTATAATTTATCTGTTGGCTCCAGTTATGGGATATATTATTGCAGCAGTTGTCCATGAATTTATAAATGTTTTTAAAATCATTTGAACTTGGACCATATGTAGTAATCAGCATTCACTAGCATTCTTCCCGGAATTTGAAACTTTCTCTTCATGTTTAAAATGTCCCATGAACCACTTAATGGCATGACTTTTTTTGATGAAGCCCTTTATGTTTGTATACTTCAAGCATCTAATAACACAACAGACTTCAGGAGCCTGGTCTATTTTGTTGTTTTTGTGTGGAATATTGTTTTAAATGAAAGCATTTCTAAGGCTTAGAATTTTTTATTACATAAAACACTATTTGTGTGGTTATTTGTTGTTCATTTGTTTTTACCTATTTGCTTTTTAAATTGATTTTTTTAAAAAACAGAATAGAACCTCTTACCAGATATTTTACTTTTGCAGTTGGGGACCCTAGGAGCAGGCAACCACTATGCAGAAATCCAGGTTGTGGATGAGATTTTCAATGAATATGCTGCTAAGAAAATGGGCATCGACCATAAGGGACAAGTGTGTGTAATGATCCACAGTGGAAGCAGAGGCTTGGGCCACCAAGTAGCCACAGGTATATAAAGTACTTAATTTTTTACTTCGTGCCAAAATGTACATTTTATAGGAAACTATGTAGAAGCTTAAGAAAATTTAAACCTGGAACTACATGGATTTTTATCCTGGCGCCCCTAATTTGTAACCTTGAACAAATTAAATAACTTCATTAGGACTTTTCTCATCTGAGAAAAATGAACATATTTAATTATTTTGTATGATATTGTCACAAAAGGTTAATAAATAATATGTAAAGCACTTAAATCAGTGCCCCAAACATAGTAAGCACTCAATAAATGCTAGCCCTAGTTATTATGTTTAACTTAAGGGTTACTGTTGGCTCTCATGCCAAAAAGAGCAAAAAAGATTTAAATTGCAAAGTTGATAAAGAATGCATTCATTCATGTAGTAGATCCCTACTCTGCAAGATTAGGTATTATGGTAGATTTGTTATGAAATAGGCAGATACTTTATCCCAAGATTTTCTCATGAAGGAAAGATCATGTTCATTTAAAATAAAAGTTGGGGATGTGGCTCAAGCAGTAGCGCACTCGCCTGGCATGCGTGCGGCCTGGGTTCGATCCTCAGCACCACATACAAACAAAGATGTTGTGTCCGCCAAAAACTAAAAAATAAATATTAAAAATATAAAAAATATATATATATAAAATAAAAGTAGGGGTAAAATGTAGTAATTGATAAAATATTATAAGAGACACAAATACAATGAGTTTAGGGAAAAGATTTCAAAGATATCTTCAAGGGCACAGTATTTGAGCGGGGCTTTGCAGTTTGAACAGTCACACCTAGGGCCCTCATGACAAGAAGACAGCATGAACAAAAGCAGGAAGCCGGAACATGGGTCACTTTGGATGACTTGCAGTGTGTGAAAGTATTAATAAATGTATGAAAAGGTAATTGGACACATGGAAATTACAGCATTAAATTTCATGTTAGTTCAACTTTGTATTTACATTTCATCCTGTGAGAATTTAATAATTTGGGCCAGCTTGAACCTTTATTTTCTCTATCAGCTATACGAAACCTTAAGTATTTCAGAACTTTCTGCTGAGCAGTTCTCTGTATTTTATCATGGATTTGATTTGCATACATAGCTAGCAACTTGTCTCCAGCTCTTTTATATATATATATATATATTTTTTTTTTAATTGTTGTTATAGATGGACACAATGCCTTTTTTTTTTTTTAATGTCTTGCTGAGGCTCAAACCCAGGGCCTCACACATGCTAGGCAAGTGCTCTACCACTGAGCCACAACCCCAGCCCCTCCTTTTTATATTAAAGCACTAAATTTGTTTTTAAAAACCATGATGGCAATAAAATGTATTTTACTCCTTCTCGTTCATTCATGTATTAGGAAAGGAATAACTAAGACTATAATGTTACTGTTTATGTGCACATCTCATTCTCATTACAAGTTCTAGTACACACACATGTAGTTTTTGTGTCCCACACAACTTGTATCACTGAAGTCTGAAAGAGGAGATTGTTGGCAAATGTATCTTGATTAAGGGAATAGATGAGTCAGAAGCACATTATAGAAAAAGTTTTACTRGTTTTTTTTAATAGAATGGGTTTGAATGTAGCCTACCTTCTGCAGTAAATCTGAATGATTTACTTCAGGAAACCTAACTGGTTTGGGCCTTCTTTTCTCTCTCATTCCAGATGCACTGGTAGCTATGGAAAAGGCCATGAAGAGAGACAAGATCATAGTCAATGACCGTCAGTTGGCTTGTGCTCGAATTGCTTCTGCAGAGGGTCAGGACTACCTAAAGGGAATGGCAGCAGCTGGGAACTATGCCTGGGTCAACCGCTCGTCTATGACCTTCTTAACACGTCAGGTACAGTAAAATAGGTCTTTTCTGAGTTTTTCATGATAAAGTATAGTGTAGTCAGATCAAAGGCTGTAGGGTTTGATTTTGGAAATATTATGTCCTATTCAAAATACTGCAGAAGCATCTGAGAATTTGGTGTGTTCTTAAACTAAATCAGTATCAGGCAGCCCTGGAGAATGAAAGAGGAGGGCTGGGGCTGTAGCTCAGTGGTAGCGCGCTGGCCTCACATGTGGGGGGCACTGGGTTCGATCCTCAGCACCACTAAAAATAAAATAAAGTTACCATTTCCATGGGGCTGGGGATGTGGCTCAAGCGGTAGCGCGCTCGCCTGGCATGCGTGAGGCCCAGGTTCGATCCTCAGCACCACATACAAAGATGTTGTGTCCGCCAAAAAACAAAAAATAAAGTATTAAAATTCTCTCTCTCTCCCTCTCTCACTCTCTTAAAAAAAAAAAAAAAAGTTACCATTTCCACCTACAACTAAAAAAAGTATTTTAAAAAAAAAAGAAGAGAAGCCAAAATTATTGATAGGATTTTCCTTGAGTCTCAGAACAGAAGTACCATTCACTGATATTGAGAAGGCTGGGAGGAAGCATTTCTAAAGGATGATATCAAGAGGAACCAGGCAGCTTTTTAATCATATATGGAATTTATGGAGTAGAGTGTGGTCTAAAGCAGTTTTTTTTGTCCTTTTCATGAAATTAATACTACTACCATTTTTGGACTCTTTAATCCCTCACTCCCTTCAGGAACAGACTGGCTGAAGTCAGTAAGATAAGTTCTGAAGTGCTGGCTCTGACTACTTTTAACTTAAGCTTTTTTCCTAAGGCTTTTGCCAAGGTCTTCAACACAACCCCTGACGACTTGGACCTGCATGTGATCTATGATGTTTCTCACAATATTGCCAAAGTAGAGCAGCATGTGGTGGATGGAAAGGAACGGACACTGTTGGTGCACAGAAAGGGATCCACCCGTGCTTTCCCTCCTCACCACCCCCTCATTGCTGTTGATTACCAAGTATGTACCCCTGCATTTATGTTTTTTAAGCAATATGTCATAATTTAACTAATTCTGAATATGGATGAAGGAAAGCAGCAGTTGTGAGAAAGTAATCTGTTCCCCATGAGAACAGGGATCCCCTGTCTTTGAAGCAGTGACCCCTGCCCCCATCATATGTGGTTGCAGTGTGCTGTCTAAAAAGTGCTGCACTAAGTGTATTCTACTCCACTAAGATGATCAAAACCTTCATATTTTTAGAAGAAGGATAAAGATTAAACTCAGTCTGTTTCATTTCCTCTTACTCTTTTGGTGTCTGCCTGTGGTAGAGTTGGAAAGACCTTTAGCCTGTTCTCTCATTTTGCATATGAGGAAACAAAAGCCAAAAGAGGGCAGATACTTGCTTAGCATGGTTCTAGTAACAACTCGTCTCTACACTTTTTTGGATTTTGCTTTGCTCTGACATTTAGTCTGGCTTCTGTGTCTTTTCTGATCCTCACATTTTCACTCCCTTCCTCTTCCATTGTCTCCCTGTTGTCAAAGAATCAGAGTAGTCTTAATATAGTTGTAAGAGCAGTGTGTTCAGAGGCCCAAGTTTCTCCCACAATTCTACAATGCAAGAGGAACTTAAATTTTAACATTTTTTATTTTGTGATCCTCAGCTCACTGGACAGCCAGTACTTATTGGTGGCACCATGGGAACTTGTAGTTATGTTCTTACTGGCACTGAACAGGGCATGACTGAGACCTTTGGAACAACCTGTCATGGAGCGGTAAGGAAAATGAAAATTTCCTTAGAAATGTACTTTTTGGGTTAGTTGTTATTTTGCATTTTGACAGATAAATGCACCTGATTGACCATTAGTAAATTTGAGATTTGGGCTTATTGTGGCTTCTATTTAGAAATTATTTCTCACAGTATATACTACTTAGTGAACTGACTGAAATCACCTAGTATCTCATCCTTAGGCAGGTCATGGTAGGGACAGGAACTGTTCTGCAAATCCAGAAAATCCATACTGGGACAATAAGCTTACATTAGTTGAGTTTATCGTAATGGTTTATAAGTGACATAACTGTAACCAATGCAAATTCACATCACAGCTTATCTCAGCGATTCCCTAGACCTGCTCTTTTGCCTAATTTAGTTCTTTCTTTTGTGGCCCCGTTCAAGATTCAGGGCACATGTTCTGTTTTCACCACATTGCCTTTTATCTGCAAAGCCAGGGATCAGTGAACTTTTTCCATTAAGAACCATACTAGTAAATATTTTTATGCGTTTTATATCATGCGTTCTCTGTACCAGCTGTTCAGCTTCCATTTAGCACAAGAGCAGCCAAAAGTACTATTTAAATAGACATTTCCAACAAAACTTTACTTACAAAAATAAGTGCTGGGTTAAACTGCAGTTTGCCAACCCRTCTTCTGAATGACTGTGCTTAGCCAGTGTTGGAAATAGAAACTGTATACTATACTTTCTGATAGGACAGACTGTCACATGTATATTTTAACCCTGCTCTTTTCTCTGATTATTTCTCCTTTCCAGCTGCCTCCCACTCCTAGTTTAACCAAATGGTTCTCAACTAGGCAGAACTTCCTACCAGCCCCTGAGGACTTTGGCACTTTCTGGAGGCATTATTGATTCTCATGAATAGAAGGAGGCAGAGTGCTACCAGCATTTAGTGGTAGAAGCCAGGAATGTTGCTAAATATCCTACAGTGCACAGGACGCCCCACACCAGAGCTACCTGGTTCAAAATGTCACTAGTGCTGAGGTGGAGAAACTTTCAGATCACAACAAAGAGTTTTTATGTTGATAGACACTTTTTATAAATAGAAGTACTAATTGACAATAGTTAGAAATATGCAAAACTGGTCTGGGATTGTAGCTCAGTTGGTAGAGGGTTTGCCTTGCATGTGTAAGGCACTGGGTTAGATCCTCAGCACCACATAAAAACAAATAAAATAAAGGTATTGTGTCTGTCTACAACTAAAACGTATTTTTAAAAAAAGAGAGAGAGAAAGATACACAAAGCTGAATTTTTAAATACAAAGTGTTTTATGTAGATAAAAATTTATTTTCCAAAAGGATATGATGAGGTTTTTAATGCATAATAAGGTTGATAGAGTTAAAAGAAATAGTTTTTTAAACTCTTTTTAGTCTTAAACAAAAATAAAGGAGAAAGCATGTAATCATAAGGTTTTAAATAATTGCTTAGATCAAACCTAAAATCAGCTCAGAATTTATAAAGTGAAGTTAATTCTGTCCCCATTCCTTTTCATTCTAGGGCCGWGCATTGTCCCGAGCAAAATCTCGGCGTAATTTAGATTTCCAGGATGTTTTAGACAAATTGGCAGATATGGGAATTGCGATCCGTGTTGCCTCACCCAAACTGGTTATGGAAGAGGTGAGTGAAATTTTGATAAATATGTAGCATCAAACCATTTCCGATGACTTCAGTTTGCTTTCTCTTCCTTGGTTCATCTCATTTCAGTATTGTCTTCTCTTTTGTTTGGATTGGAGATCAGTTTCAAGCCAAGTCGATTAAAAGTGATGTTAGCTGTCTACATGGTAAACTTAAAAATAGTTTGAGCTGACCTATTATAACTTGGTTTTTGTAAGTTCTATACTTAAGTTTCAGTTTAAAAGCAAGCTTTGGGAAAATGTTTAGAGAAACAGTTTTGTTTTATTCAAGAGTAGGAAAGCTTTTGTTTAAATTATTTTTGTGTGTCTGGACTCATATATACATATTTGTTAGAAGTAACATGACTTCTTTCTTAAAAATTTAAGAGAAAATTACAGTCATTCAGAAATAGCCCTAACACAGCTATCACCTCTTCTTTTAAAATATTGGTTGCCATATTTTTTCCTAAATCTTTTGCCCCCCTTTTTGGTAGTCCTGGGGATTAAACCCAAGGCCTCACCTATCACTTTGCTGCACCCCCACTCCTTTTTATTTTGTTTGGAAACAAAGTCTCTCTAAATTGACCAGGCTAGTTTTAAATTTGTTATTCTCTTGCCCCAAATTCCTAAGTAGCTGGGATTACAGGGGTACCCTACCATTCCTGACTCCTAAATAGTGATTTAAAGCTAATTACAATTGCAGTTTACRAATTCTGTAGTCCCTTTTTATATTTAGCACATTATAAAATTGAATCACTTTTTAGTCATTTCTGAATATTCTGCCAGCTGAGTACCTTGATTTCTGTACATATAAGTATCTTCTAGGTTTTTACTACTGTAGGTTGTAATGATTTTCTTTCATGAAACTTTTCTTGGTCTTAAAATAATTATAATGAAGTCTCAAAAGTAGAATTACTGAGTCAGAGTAAGACAAAGCCTTCTTTATAATACTTAATTTCTCCCTGTTCTTAAGAATAATACATGTTTAGTTAAAAAAAATATATGAAAGCAGGTGACACACACCTTTACTCTCAGTGGCTCCAGAGGCTGAGACAAGACTACCACAAGTTGGAGACCAGCCAGGTAGGGCAACCTAGCCAGACCCTATCTCAAAATAAAAGGGCTGCAGTTGTAGCTTATCGGTAGAGCACTTGCCTAGCATGTACAAGGCCTGGATTCAAATCCCCAGCATTGCCAAAAAAAAAAAAAAAGAGAGAGAGAGAGAGAGAAATACAGAGAAAACAAAAACACTTAGACTTCAACCAACAAGAAATAATTTGCCACTGTTGGTTTTTTTGGTTGGGTATTTTTGTTTGTTTGTTTTCTTGAATAGCATGAATAGCATCCTTGCTAGAAATCTAGGTGCTTAGGGATAATACAGTGAACAAAACTGACATGTTCCTTTCTTGTGAACTTACCATGTATTATGCTTTAAAGACCATGTAAGTGCTATACAGTAAAAATGGAGTAGAGGAGGTGTATGTTTCAATAAGAACAAGGTGAGAAAGGAAAGAGGGATTTTGCACTTGAGTACACCAGAGGGAATTCCAGAGGCCACAGTGGGAAAGTTATAGAAACTGAAAAGGAATGAGAGATGCACCGGAACACTTTGTACAGAGCCCTGTGGGTGTTGGTCCGGGAGCCCTAGCCTGGTTGTGTTGACATAAATAGAGATAAAGCAGGGATGTGAGGAGATGAATTCTGATGGTGGCAAGAGGATATGGGTAGAGAGGAAGGGTGGGGGCCTTGCTAAAAACTCACAGAAGTAAATTATGTGTGCATACACACACATCTACATAAACAGTTTGGGGTAGTTATAATTTTTCACATGTTTATATATGAATTTATTAACTTTCGCTATAAAGAAAAAGTTACTAGTACATGTTCATTTAAGAAATTTGGATAACTACAGAAATCCATAAAGAAAATTCAGATTACCAATGATTATACTATTCAGAGATAATGTGTTTGGGAATATATGTTTGATTTAATTACATTTACTGCCTTTTTTTTTTTTTTTTGTAGTTGTAGATGATTCTTCTTTTATGTGATGTTGAGGATTGAACCAGTGCCTCACATGTGCTAGGCCATTGAGCTATAGCCCCAGCCCTGCTTTTCTTAATTATACAAGCAATGTGCAATCTTTGAAGAAGTTTTTAAAATAAAGAACATAAAACAGTGTTTATCTCACTTTCCCAACAATGACCTTACTCAGTTTTTTAATCTTTGTTTATTTGATAGATTTAAAAAAAAAAACCCTACCCTCAGCATTGTTTTAATGTACATTTGTTTAGTACATGAAACTGAAAACCTTTACATTTCTTTATAATACTTAATTTTTATATTTCATGGTTGAATTATTATAAAAGCATTAAGTGGAATGTAGTACTTTTAAAGGTCCCCTTTTCGGTATACTTACAATGTTTGATTCTTCCTCTGCAGGCTCCTGAGTCCTATAAGAACGTTACAGATGTGGTAAATACCTGCCATGATGCTGGAATCAGCAAGAAGGCCATTAAACTGAGACCAATTGCTGTTATCAAAGGGTAGAACCTTGATGGGAGCCTCTGGACGCCACTGACCCTCAGTGAAGTGGCTGTGAACTGCAACATTCTTCAGACGTCAGACTTGAGACTTGGCAAGTTCAAAGTRTGCTGCTGAAACTGTCCRTGCCAAAATGGCTRCTGAYCCCAGAGCCAGTGTTGTGAAATAACCTTCCAGAGGGGACCATCTGGAAAGGATGAAAGTGCTTCCTCCTCAGTAGTCCCATAGACTTTTAGRAAAATCTTTTAGGGGGAGGTATCAAGAAACTCCCTTTAATCATCAGAATGAACKCCTTCACACCAGATTCTGTTTACATCCTAATAGGTGTCATGAAGAACATTCTATTAAATATAATTTTGGAATGTTCTCTTTTTTCCCCTCACTTTATTCATTCACTGACTCATCTACCAACCACCCCTGCACTAAACAAAATCTAAATA